AAGTCCCTCAAGTCTAATCAGAGTTCTGTTCAGTTTTTATATTATTTTCTTAACTTCCTCTCAGATTCTGTGTCCCCGATTCTTAGTCGCCATAAATATTCTGATCTTCTCCAGGTCTGATCTTGTCCTCATCTGAATCCTAACCATCTTGATTTGATTAAATACCACAAAAAGTCTTGTTTTTGTCTTGACTCTTGGTCCATTGAAATCTTAGTCCCATGTAAATCCTGCTCTCAAAACTTTTGTTCAAACTTCCTTTAGAGCCTTTCACCCATCTAGTCTTTTCTCAAAAGTCTTTGTTGGGTCTTTGCCTGTCCCTTAAGGTCTTGATCTTGTTCATGCTGCTCTTACAGGAGCAAGAAAAACGAGTATTTGTTGCTTCCATGTCTTTGTCTGTTCCTCATCACTTCTCTCATCATGAAAAAGGCACAGCAGTCCGTGTTCCGTGTCTTTGTCTGTTCTCTCATCATGAAAAAGGCACAGCAGCAACAGTTTAAACAAATTCCCAGCTCAGCTGAACCAACTCAGGCGTCAAACCCCAACATCTGAAAAAGAACCAGTTCACTGAGGACATCATTATTTTCCCACTGCTTCACTAAAAATCAAACAATCCAGAGCTCTTGGTAAAAATCAAATGCAAATTGGTTCTCATTAAAATAAGAAATTTGAAAACTGTGTGAAACTCCTTTGTGTGTGATTTTTCTTTAATTTTTTTTTTCAATTTTAAATTAAGACTTTTCACACAGTTGCTCTGATCCGTTAATATAAAGCAAACGAGCTAATGAGAAATAAAGGAAGTTAATTCACTGTGGCTGATATGAAACTACAAGTGTGAAATGGGTCTCAGAGGAAGAAATGAACTTCACTTGTTTGGTTTTTTTAATCAGTTATCAAACACGACTATTATCTGTTTTAGGATGAACATACACTCGCAAGTCTTTCCAAAGTGTTTGCCAAATTAGAAAATGTCCATTCTTTTTCACCAAAGTCCAAAATCACGTTTTCATCACATCTCAGGGCTGAACACTCAACTTTTCTTGCCTCTATTTTTGAAGTGAAGTGTGTTTTTTGTCGTTGCAACTCAAACTATTAGAATTTGGATATGAAGTGGAACCTTCCACACACCGACACCAACAAACCAAACAATGTTTTGTAAACCTATTGAGGGAACTTGACCCAAAAAGCAACAAAATGTCCATGACAAAGGTAGAAGTGGAAAGTTGGAGAGGAACAGACAAACACATTTTTGCAACCAAATGAAGTGTTTTCTGCTCTGTTTTGGGTCAGGGAGAAAAGAAAAGAGGAGATTTGTTCCCATTGTGGCCTACAGTGACACACAGGTACATCAAACTGGTCCAGATACAAGAGACAGGTTTTCTTTTTCTTTTTTGCTGGCCTTTTGTGGATAGCCAATTTGATTATTAGAAGTAAAATCTGAAAAGTTTTTCATTTTGCAAATGTTTTTCCAGCTTTCTCAAGGTTCTCAAAGCATGGAAAAAGTTGTTTTGGCAGAAAAAAAAAACCTTACTTTATGAGGCAACTGTTTTTTTCCCCAAAATAAATCACAAGCCAAACCGAAGGATGCAAAACCTGAAATTCACCATAAAAAGTTTTCAGTTTGTGACAGTGAAATGTCTTTGACTGCAGGTCCTTGAATTGAATTTCAGCCAAACAACACATTTACTGTTCTCTGCTAATTCTTATTCCCCCACTATTATGCCCTTCCTATCCTTTTCTGTCAATCAGCAACGTAAAAATAGAAAACAATGAAAGAACTCCGTACACGTCACCCGAATCTGAAATTAGCGTAGGTTTGGGACAAAGTGTCCTTGAATTGTCTGATTTATTCCTTGGACTTGATGAGTCACAGCCAAAATGTAGTCTAAAAATGACCAGGTGGTTTCAAATGCTTAAAGTATAAAATATAAACAAAAGTGGCTAACGTTAAGCTAGTGAAATAATCACTAAAATGGCTAGCAGCTAGCAAAAAAAATAGTAACAGAGTTTGAGTTTGTTTTTTGTTTTTTTGTCATATAATTGCTTAATTCATATATGCTAATATTAGCTTTCCGCCATGTTCTTGTCTGTTTGGCTAAACTGTAGCAACTGTCGCTTCAGTTCTAGCTTCTCCTTAGCCACATCCGGCTCAAATCTTTTTGAAATCTATCAGTACAATTCTGTTCTCAGTGTCCGTGAACATCAAAATCAAAATTTAAAAATAGTTTCTGAATGATGTGCAGCGGCGGCAGCGGCGGGAGCGGGG